TATCTATTCTATACGCGAGAGCGTGGATCGAGAGACGTGCTTGGGACCGACATTGCCGAGCGGACAAGAGTTGCAGTACTTTCTGCGGAAGATACATGAGCTGGATTTGTTAGTAACGTTTTTTTGTTTCGTCTCCGTCTCTTTTCCTCTCTCTTTAATGAATATCTATATCGGTATAAGTACAACCGGATGAAAGCCGATCGACTAAATCAAATACGGTTTATATTCACCCTTTGTACGGTGGCGAAGAATTAGAGGGTGTAGGTGCGTTTGCTAATCCCGATTTAATTAAAGCGATACGTGCGCCAATAATCGTTCAACTTCTTTTTTCGTCGGTAATCTTCGATAATTGGATCTGGCTGTCGACGACATTTAATCCAACTAAGCGTGGCATATAAGCGATAACAATATTTTCTAATTGTCGAAACGAGGAAGCGTTAATTTTAATGAAGGATCTCTCTCTCTCTCTCTCTCTCTCTCTCTCGCTCTCTCGACGATGACGACGAGTTATTCAATTAACCATATCTCTCGGCTTTTACAAGTATGTACAGACAGTTGCCCAACTTTGCTCGTTTATGAACTTCTTATCGCGCGCGCTCGCTGTGTTTTTGATAAGAAAACCTCATCGAAACTCTCGCCCTGACAGTCGCTCGGGAAAAATAACGCGCGCCGCGTGATATTTTTCTGCTTCGTTAAACGAGTGTCGAGTAAAACTTGCGCGTCTCGCTAATTAAAGCGAGACAAACGAGCCAACGTTCTCTTTTTGCAAATTATCAAGTCTCGAGTACCAGTGGCGTTTCAATAAACAGCACATAAATCTTCGAGGGATAGCTTACAGAGACGCGAAAATAATAAAGGCTACGAGCGAGTTGAGCTAATTAAAGGGATGGAAAACAAAGCTCGAGCGAAAACGATGCAAATCGGGAGACTTACGCCTCTTGCCTCTTGACTTATCACCTATGTTTTTTCATTTTTTCTCTTTCCTTCTTTTTCTTCTTATTTTTGTTACTTCATTGTATACTGTGTTGTGTTTCAGATTCAACATCAAATACAGAACGAGTCGCGATGCAAATTTACAACTCAGACTGCATAAGTTTTGCATTATAAATTCACCAAGATAAATAAAATGCAAAAGGTAATTTGTATTCCATTGAGAGATGGATGCTTTGATCTATAAAGCATGAAGTACATCGTGACTTTTTATTATTTTATAGTTTAATTTCTTTGGCTTTCGTTAATTATACGCTTCTGATTCAGTCTCTATAGCAATATTTTTTTCTCTCCAATTAGGATTATAGTACAGTTTTTTCAATTAAAAAAACACATATCTTCATATCAACGTCACGTTCGTGCAGTCATAAACATCGGAACCGTATAATAGCCAATCATGCGATACACATCCGAATATATATTAATCCCATTGGATGGAGAGAGAAAGAGAGAGAGAGAGAGAAAGAGAGAGACAGAGAGATAGCGATGTGCCCTTGTTCGGTAAAGAAAATGTGATTTGAAAGATAGCAGAGTTCAATTTTGACCACGAAGAAAGTAGCCGATCGTCTGTGTCACGTATACTATGTAGGAAAGAGATGCCAAACTGGAAACAGTACTAGTAAGATTTCCCGTAAAACGTGCACGAAGCCAATAATCCGTTCCCAAAGTCGCGAGCATCATCGAGATATCATGTAGGTAACCCGCTTGACCAAAGTTCAGCTAGATATATATTCATTCGGTGATTGTAAAACCAACAAAAATACCAACTCGTTAAAACATCTTTTTTTTTTAATGCGTGCACGGACAAAAAAAGTTCTTCGCAATGCACGTGGGTATAAATCGGCTGTCCTACTTTACATGCGCTTTCTCTCGTTTTCGTCTTTTTTTTGCGAGTCTTTCGAGCGATAAAGCTTTTTTTGCTACTGCTAGTCGCTCGCGAGAATCCGACCAACTGTCCCTCTATTTGACAATGTCGAGTAACTTATCGCTCTCGGCAGCAGCAACCTGCACTCTCTACGACGCTTATCCGTTTGGCAAGTTTTTATCGCGGCGCGTGGCAAATGCTCTAACGCTTTCTTTTTTTCTCGCGAGGCTTTTGTGACGGATACAACCGCACGTGTATGATTTCACACCTACTACTTTTTTTTTTATTGCAACGAGATAACTGCCATCCGGAATTGGTTTATATTAATTTATTCATTTAAATTGTAGTTCCTTGTCACATGAAGCCACAAGAACACAGTCTGTTTGAACAACCGAATTTAAAATATCGCATAAATTCCAAGAAATCAAATCTCCCTCCGTCGGAGTTTATTCCCTTTAACTAACGAATTTCAAGCAGAGAATAATGTTGGGAAGTTCTACGTGCAGCAAAGTTACATCCATAATTCTGCATTGATGACTTTGAAATTATACAGGCACAGTGCCGCTTTGGCTCGAAGGATTGTTATGTCTGCGTATTATTTCAAAGCAATTAGTTTGCCGCGAGAACTCAAACGAAAATGACACTAATATAACAACCGGCACTCTGGGAGAATCCATTAATGGATAAGCGTACGTAATATAATATCGCTCCGTTCGTGAAATTTTTTTAAACAGAATAGAAAACTGCGAGGATCGCTTATATGATTTAATGTGGTGCCAGTTGCGTTGTCGCGCATCCTAATGACCTCATTGGGGGCTAACTTGAAGAATGACCATCGAGAGTAGGGGAGAGTGTGGAACGTGAGAGAGATAAAGCGTTGGGATTATTAACGAGGAGACGCTTTCTTTTCCTCTTCCTAATCCTCTTCTCTCTGTCTCTCACTCTCTCTCTCTCTCTCTCTCTCTCTCTCTCTCTCTCTCTCTCTCTCTCTCTCTCTCTCCCTCTTTCGTTGTCTCCATTGAATTCGAGATCGCCAATTACGTTTATTGTTTTTGCAAGTAAGGGTACGAGGAAATTTAAGGGTCCTCCATAGCTGCATTGCACATAAAGGGAATTTAGAATGAGAATCGATTGGCTTTTCATATAACACAAAAGCTCTCTCTCGCTCTCCCTCTCTCTCTCTCTCTTTCTCTCGCCAGCTTGCCATTGTTTAAAATTTTAATTAAATTTCGAGACTAGCCCAAAAGCGACGACCTTCTATTGTTTATATCTCTCTGTATCTGCTAGAATCTTATTACGATCGCTCGTGTCATGCAACTCGATTTTTACGAGGGTAGTAGAAACTGATATACACCGATCACACCCCTTGGTCTTTTGTTTGAGAAACTGCTTGTCATGAGCTAGTCCATAAAGTGTTTATAAGCACTTCCGAATATGTGTTTAGTGGAGCTTTATAACTGTTGACGCTACCGTTGTATGGAGTTTCCATTATCAAGTTTGCAGGTTATTAACCTTCCAAAGTAATTCTGAAGAGTTGGGAATCCATATTAACGTCTTGTATCCGTAAATGTTTCAACAAATATGCCACAGCTGAAATCGGAGCTTCGATGTCGGGACAGGAAGGCAATCAGCTTCGCCCAGGCTGCTATCGACGAGCAAGTACATATAGCAGGCATACGAGTTGCCGAACAATTCCCCGAGCAGCCATTACCTGACCGAATCAAGCTTTTGGAGCTTCATTGCCAGCAATTTATCACGGAGAGAAAGAGAGAGAGAAAGAGAGAGAGAGAGAGAGAGAGAGAGAGAGAGAAGCTTTAAGCAACATTTACAGGGCTCGTTAAGGTCTTGTGGTTTGACGTACATATATATTTAAAAGGTGTTATATATACTGTATATGTATATTAGATGTAGAGCGGCGTGTCCGACAACATATCGATCGATGTGTTACGCGCAACATGCAAATTCCGAGAGCTTGGATTGCTCTGGCCCCTTAACACGCGGGAGAGACCTTCCCTGTGTAATCTGCAGCTATACTCGACCGTTTCGCCGAATTCAATTTACTCTCGCGCCATTTAAGCTGCGTCGTGCGGATGCTTGACCGATTTGGTGGCAGAGGCAAATTTTTTTTTTTCGTTTTGAAAATGGCTCGATTGCACTTTTTAGTTAGTTCACTGAAGTTTAGCTCTAGTGCATAGTTTTCAGAAACACATACGAACGTTCCAATTTTCGTTCTTGGAAAAGTTCCAATTTTCTTTACGTCGTACGCGCGTTCGCGTTTTCGGAAATTGCCTTTCGTATACAGAGGAGAATGAAAGAGCATTGTCGCGCGTAAAGAGCGGCAAGTTATGAGTAAAGACGTCATCAAGAGGATATGAAGTTGCGCGACACACTTTATTATCATCCTTCTTCTTCATCTTCTCGTGTCGACCGTTAAACTTCAAAACCAGACGAACAAATTCTCTCTGCTCGCCGCCTTACTTCAATATAAAGTGGACAGCGTAAGAATCTGAAGCTATGAAAAGTCCCTTCGAAAAGCAGCAAGCAAAGTACAAAAGACAGACAAAATATCCGTGTGCTTGGAAATAAAGCGCAATTAAAGTAATCACACTAAAAGATTCTTCGGGCTGCGGGCTGCGGCTGCACCGCCAAAAGCCACTTTAATCACTTTGCGAAAAATTCCAGGAAATTTCGTGTAGCGCAGCTTTTATTCTTTCGCGAACAAAGTTTGCGACGGAGCTACCGGCTTTAAGAGCCTTTGGCAAGTCGAGCAAATTGCCGCGCTCTATGCTTCAATGCACACACGGCTTAATTGAAACGTTTTCCTGGAGAGAAGCAAGGAGAGCCGATAATAAATCCGTGGCACGTAAGGAGAAAAGCGAACGGACCACTGACCGAGTTTTTCTTCTCTTTTCGCGGTGAATAATATATTCCCCCGCCGTACTCATTTCAATATTTAATTACGGAGATTAATTCCACGGTAGCTGGAGCTTTTGGATTCTCAATTCTGCGTCCGAAGCGAGGTTATTAATTTTCGCTAATTCGCTTTTTTTTCCAAAAAAAAGAAATAATAATCGAAAAACGGATGTTTCAAGAGCGGGTCGCACTCAGGAAATTAAAAAGCCACTATCGACTCTTTTCGACTTACGATGACTGGACGATGCATTGTCAGCGAAGCTACTGAGGTACTCACCTGTAACAAAAGAATGAAAATTCATCGTTAGATCGTTATTTTAACGTTTTTTTGGAAAATTTTTTAATCCCGAAAGGAAAACTTTAGTAAAGATTTTTTTAATTGTGACTCAAGTTTCTACCCAAAAAATTAACAAAAAAGTTATTCCAACCAACGTCGAATATAAAAGGAAAGGAAAAAGAAGCGTTGCAAAATCAAACATTGACAGTGTAACAACTCACTTTTACCACAGTTGTTTGATAAAAAGCTCACTGTCGCTGCAGTGAGAACTGATATTCTCGCGTAATTTCCTAGCCTCCGACTTTGCTTTTAATTTTCATGCGTAACTAAGTAAATTTAAGCAACAAAATAGAAAAATGGACATTGACTTTCTCTCACTCTCTCTCTCTCTCTCTCTCTCTCTCTTTCGTCGCGCGAATTGAAAAAAACGAGAGAAAATATTGGCCTCCTCTGACGTCATTAAAACTTTTAGATTGCGTAAGAATGGGGTTTTTTCCCTCTCTCCCCTCGTCGTTCTTTCACGCTTCACGAGGGGCGTAAAACGCTTTCTCGTCAAACAGCCCCGGATAATTACCGCGACTTGACGATGAATTAACTCGGCAACCATGAACAAACGGCTTTCTATTTTATTTTAACTGCCCTTGCGGAACTAAGAAAAACTATAGTGTAAGCCTTCATCCGAACATTCTTTTTTAATGACTAGTCGATTTCTTTTTTTTCGTGTGATTAAAAGACTCAGTGGCAAGAAAAGCCGCCACAAAGTAAGTACATTTTTACAGTCTTTTGTGACAGCCTCTCTCTTTGTCCCATGACAATTCCTTTCACGTAAAAAGTAAATAAAAATCCTTTCTAGTCACTGTCTAAGCGTTTTCTAAGTTTTTGCAGTTTAGAAGGAGAAAGAAAAAAAAGGAACATTCAAAGAATCTTTTCATATACGCACGCTTTCATTTCAAAAGAAAGTACAGCACGTTTGGCTAAACAAAGGTTAGCAAACTCCCTCGCTCTCTGTTCTAGCTATTTTAAAATGAAACAAAATACAAAAGCTCAACATTTTCTTCCTTGCAGCTTTCGCATTCACTCGTGACCGCAAGTGCTATACTAATTTCAATATGTATATACACTTCTAAATAATTTTGATCTCGTTCAGGGGGTTGCGAGTAAAACGTTTTAATACCGAAATAATGGCGTTAAACCGATCCCCTCCCACCTTCTGCAAAGCGGCTTACGCGGTAACGATCCACCCACCAAACAGCGTTAAAAAAAGAAAGAAAGAGTAGCTAACGAGGGTAAGAGAGAAAGAAAGAGAGAGGGAGGGAGAGAGAGAGAAAACAGACGTACAAAAGAGAGAGAGAGAGAGAGAAAGAGCTGCAGACGTTATGTCGTCGTCGCGCCTACGGGGAATTTTTCAGCGACGTTCCTCTCGAGATTGGCCATTCATTTGTCAAACGGACGACATTTTTGCGCGCCCGCACACTTTTCTCCCCCCCCCTCTCTTATTCTCTCTCACTCTAACAAACGTGATGGGCTTTCTATATAGCATACGGGAAAAGAGTGAGATTCTCTTTTGAGAAGGCGACGCGTATATGGTTGAAAAATTGAAAATCTTTTCTTTTTCGCTGAAGCTTGATTAACGATGTTTTCCGTGTTCACAGATAATGTTTCGTTTTGACAGTTGAAATGAGCAAGAAAAACGGCATTGTGATTTAAGATTTTTGGAGTGACGGACTTTTCAAGATTGGATATAATAATTGAAAATTTCATTAGATGTGTGTAGTACGACTACTTATGCTAATGGCGAAAGGAATTCACTAGTACACTGAAGGATACTCAATTCATTTATTCAATTCGAGCGCGATAACAGATTTCAATACAAATGCGTTGCGTTCAGTACAATTTTGAAAATAGCAAGTGCACGTTCAAGAGCATTTATGAACTAATTCGTATTCATTAAAATAATAAATATATAAGCAAAATATGAATGATATCCAGAGCCATACACAGAAATATACTTTGTAAGCTGACACGAATGAAAGATCAAAAAAAAGTGTCGAGTACATCTCTTGCTGCTACCGCTGTTGCTCTGGCGCAAAAGAAAGAAACGAGTGAATTAAAAAGACTTGAAAGCCACGTCGCACCACACATACACACACACACTCACCCACACAAAGAGCTCTTTTTCGCATAATTGCTGTATCGCAAGAAAACTCCCCGCGTCCTCTTAAAAAAAATGCCACGACCCTCTTCAAGCCGAATGTATGTCAGATTAAAAAAAATCCTTGTAGAGAAAAAAAATTACATGATGTGCTCCAATCAAGTCAGCGGCAAGGATAAACAGCAGACGGAATATCCTATGATATCTTTGGTAGCAGCTGTTGTGCGCATTTTCTTTTTTGTCAGAGAGAGAGAGAGAAAGAGAGAGAGAGAGAGCAAAAACAAATCTTTCAATGCGAGTATATATATATAATGTAGCGCACGTCGTCGTCGTGTCTCAATCTGTCGACGGGTGGAGCGCCTGAGTGTTTTAAAAATAAACCGTTGCACTGCCGCTACATCTCGTGAATATGCAGCCAATCAAAGAAAGTAGCAGAGAAAAGAGTATCGGGGGGTTTTTTTCTGTTTTTTTTTCTGCCGTACTAATCAAAGGCACAAACAACAAGCAGTCTCCACGAATGCAAATGCAACTTTGGCTTCGATCAATCAGTCGGCGCTTGTATTTTACTTTCCGCAGGAGAAAGAAGTCTAATTGCGGCTTGTATACATCTCGCGAGTATATATATATATATATAGTAAAAGGTTTCTTCTTGCATCTGACAGCTGCTGCAGCGGCAAGCAACTCGCGCAGAGAGAAGTTTGTAGCGCGCTCGGCGGATATAGCACTGAGAACTCTCCTTTGGCTTATTGTTCTGCCTCCGACGAAGCCACCGCGGAGCACGAGATAAGTTTTAGAGCTTGTATCCTGAATCATACATGAGTGGATCAATTCAAATTGGGCATACCTTGCACTGCACTTTCTTTTCTTTGGCCTTAGCCCACGAACTTGGATATCTTTTGAATGCGATAGTCTGTTCGCGAGGTGCGAATGGAATTACGATTATTATAGAGATGAAGTTCATATATGGGTTTGTCGGTGGAAAGACTTTTTCTTCAAATGTGGATATGAACGTCACAAAATAAAGGAATTGGTTTACGATTACGTGAGCGAAGCGAATGTTGATTATGAAGCGGTAGTTAGACGCATAACACGACGAATATCGTAAAAGAAATCTAAGAACCTCCACGGAAAAAGAACATTTTCAAAAGCTCTCTGGCATATTTCCCACATCGCGAGTAGCAGTCTCTAAAACCTCGGAAAATGGAACGGCAAAGAAAAGAAAACCTTATAACACAATCTTCGCGGCAGTAGCTGCGTTGTGAAGAAAAGGCAGGTGTATATATGTACGTGTATATATGTGTATATATATATATATATATATATATATATACTCATATATAAATCAAGATGCTATAACGAGGCATGGTAACGTAATACGGTGCGTTGGTTGCAATAGAGAAGCCAGATTCAGGAAAACGCTCATTATCGCACTGTGTGGTGTCGCTACTGCTGTTGCTGCTGCTGCGGGTCGTATACATAAGCAGCTTGCTTGTCAATGCCACGAAGGGGGTGCTATAACAACGGAAATATTCCACGCAAGTCTAATAAGCCGCACGCTATTTATCCATGCGCGGTTGCGCGACCGGAGGATTGTCGTTGTGCGTAACGAGATACTTGACGATTACATTAGAATTGTTTTTCTCTCCTTTGCGCTCTTCTTTTTCCGACATGACCCTCCTCATCTATCACGCGCTTAGAGCCGTAGATCGTGAATTTTCCTGCGATTCAATTTCACGTGACTTTTAAAAACAGTCCACATCAGAGTTGTATCTTTTTGTAAATTCCAATCAGAGAGAGAGAGAGAGAGAGAGAGAGAGAGAGTGAGAATATTTCACATCCGTGAATGTCACTCATACAATCAATTTCACGCTTGAGAATTTCACCCTCTATATAATAGTCAACAGAGAAAGAGAGCGAAAGAGAGAGAAGGAGAGTATTTCACTTGGGATATACATGCATGCGCGCAAATCATGCATATTCTACATTGACCTCGCGGTCGAACGGACCAAGCTGTATAACGTACTACTTCATCCCGTGCAAAAAAAAGCTTCTATACAATCTCTCGCGTGCACACTGAAATTCTATGGAGGTATGCGCGCGACACAAAGTAGCGCTGTTATACAATCGACATTTATTAGCAATTAAGAACTGCTCGACGCTGACGTGCGTGCGCGCGCGCGCGAACCCTATCAAAGAACCGCCGCATACGCGCAACAGCAGCAACAACAACAACGGCCGAATAAAGCTCCGTCAAGCGCACCAACGTCGAGTACACACGCATGCGAAACAAACTGATCCGTAAGTGCTACTCCCCTTTATAGACGCGCCGCGCGCTGCACCGTCGAAATATCTCGAGTGTGTTCGCTAGCTTTCAAAGGATTCGACGATGTATATTACTCATGGTAGAATTCTCAAACGAAGCGGCGGTTAATTAAATGAATGAGAAAAGTATAACAGCCTTACGTTTGTGATTCAACATTAATTAATCTGATGACGAGGGGCGGAACGGGAAGTTAGTCTTTTTACGGTGTGCAATGGTAGGGACTTTCGCTAATTGCTGTACGGAATTTTCGTTACTCTTAGCGTCGCGATTATTGATTTGCAGGGACTCGTATAAATATCTTTTGGACATCGAAACCTCGTTTTCTCTCCCCTCGCAATAAAAAAGCGATTAGCCATGCTAATCTTCTTATTTATGCGAGGGCGGTAGCTTTAACAATCAATGAAGTGGCGTGTGTATAAAAAAAACACTCCTCCCATTCACGAGAGAGAGAGAGAGAGAAACAAAAGTGCTCTCTTGGCTTCAAGAGCTGGGGAGGGACGTCGAGTATAGTGCTCGCGGCTCGCG